TCACCTCACCTCACCTCACCTCACCTCACGTCACAGAACCCCCCCAAAAAACCAAGGTGAAGAGAATCTATGTATATAAGAGGTGAAGAGGAGACGCGGAAGGAAGGGAAGAAGAAGAGGAGTAGGGAAGGAAAGAGGAGGAAGGAAGAAAGAAAGGAAGGAATGAAGGAAGAAGAGAGAGATTTGGTATACTAATTTCATTGACCCTTTTGATCACATCCCGTTTTAGAAGAGATAGAAAATGAAAGAAAAAAAAAAGAAAGAAGAGATAGAATTAGATTAAGGTCGTTTGGTGGGTGTATAGGATCGTTAGTTGCCATTCAGGTTATATGGTATTTAGGTGGTGTAAAGGGATTCAGATGACGTAAATGGACTTCAAATACCTTTTTAAGAGGATTCACTAATGGCAGTCGAGTTCTTGATACATTTATTTTTTTTCTTTTCTTTGTGTTTATTGATTTTTATTTACTTTTTTTTAGAGAGAAATAATTACGATTAGATTGAAGGTGAGGTGTGATTGTATCGAGGATGGTGATTGGTGATTGGTTAGATTCATTCAGGTGTGTTGTTGTATTGAAGAAGGTGATTGGTGATTGGTTAAAATTAGTTGCAGCTATGTACTGTATTGAGATAGGTGATTGGTTGGGTGGATACAGGTAAACGTGTTGTATCAAAGCACGTGATTGGTTAGATTGATTCAGGTACGGGTTATATCGAAGCTGGTGATTGGTTGATTAGATCCAGATAGACAGACAGACAGACAGACAGACAGACAAAAAGAGAATGAAATCAACTGAAAATAACTGAAGTTAAGCTGAAATAAGATGAAGTCAAGCTGAGTTTAAGCTGAGATGAGTCAATGAGATCAGTCAGAGGAAAGAAGACTGCTGAGGGGGGAGAGGAGGAGGAGAGAGAGAGAAGGAGAGGAGAGAAGGGGGAGAGAGAGAGAGAGAGAGAGAGAGAGGAGAGAGAGAGAGAGAAGGGGGGGAGAGAGGGAGAGAGAGAAGGGGGAGGATGTAAGTTGAGGATTAAGTGAGAAAAGTAAACACGCCGTTCATCACAGTGTCAGCTTCTCTATCGCCATGGGTGACTGATGGTTAGGTTTGGTCAGGTCAGGTCAGGTTAGGTTTGGTTTGGTTAGGTTAGGTCAGGTCAGGTTAGGTTTAGTAATAATAATAATAATAATAATAATAATAATAATAATAATAATAATAATAATAATAATACTTACAAATTTCTACACTTCCATTAACGGGGCGATACACTTATAGATTATATACTTATGGACTATACCCACACACATACACACTTTCAAAATATGTACTTAATCCACACACACTTACAAAATATGTACTTACAAAATGTCAGTCTTGTAAAGTGATTATCTTAAGAGGCCGTAACTGGTTGAGAGCCTCAGGTTATGATACAGCTTAAGTAAATCTTCATTCACGCGTCGTGCCTATAGATATTGACCGTGTGTGTGTGTGTGTGTGTGTGTGTGTGTGTGTGTGTGTGTGTGTGTAGTGTGTGTGTGTGTGTGTGTGTGTGTGTGTGTGTGTGTGTGCTCATACTACGTGTCCTGTGGGCGTGGGCGGTGTTTATGTCAGGTAGAGGAATGAAAGAATGAATGAAGGAAAGGAAGGAATGAATGAATGAAGGAAGGAATGAGGGAAGGAATGAATGAAGGAAAGAAAGAAGGAAGAAAGGAATGAATGAAGGGAACTAGGAATGAATGAATGAAGGAAGGAATGAGGGAAGGAATGAATGAAGGAAGGGAACTAGGAATGAATGAATGAAGGAAGGAATGAGGGAAGGAATGAATGAAGGAAGGAAAGAAGGAAGGAAGGAATGAATGAAGGAATTAAGGAAGGAAGGAAGGATTGGATGAATGAATGAAGGAAGGAAGGAACGAAGGAAAGTAGGAAGGAAGGAATGAATGAAGGAAGGAAGGAAGGAAAAATAAGTGTAATTGTGATTTTTATTTGTCTGGGGCGTTCATTTCATTCAATTCCCTTTCCTTCCTCTTCGTCTTCTTCCTTTTCCTGTTTCTCTTCCTCCTATTTCTTCTCTCCTCTTCCTCCCTCCTCCATTCCTTCTTTCCCTATTTCCATCTCTCTTCTTCCCCCCCCTCTTTACGATGTGGCGCACGCAGGAAGAGTCCGTGTGTGTGTGTGTGTGTGTGTGTGTGTGTGTGTGTGTGTGTGTGTGTGTGTGTGTAAGGCAACATTTGTGGTGTTCAGCTCAGCATATTTCTCTTCAGACTAATAATAGGAAAGTGTAGCTGACAGTAGTGCTCTCTACTTAAATGGTTTCTTTCTTTCCTTCTTTCTTTCTCTCTTCTTTCTCTCTTTCTTTCTTTCTATTTTTAATTATTTATTTATTTCTTCTTTCTTTCTTTCTTTCTTTCTTTCTTTCTTTATTTCTTTCTTTCATTCCTGCTTTTTTTATTTCCTTCTTTTTTCTGTCTTCCTTTATTTCCTTCCTTCTTTCCTCCTTAATC